GACTCATCAGGAGGCTGAACACTCAACAGTCTGCAGAATCCCCTCACTGATTACACTGTAAATGATAATCTACCTTAACCAAAATCAAAGTAGACTTCACTCACCCACACCAGATGGAAAACTCTACAGACTGTTGGTTCACACCCCATCACAAGCCAGCAAAACATCAACGAAACAAAGAAAGGTCTGTCACAGCCAGAAAATACACTCCAGCTGTCTTCTCCTCATTGCAGGACAGCCGCATATATATATTTTCTCTCAATTTTTAACTGGCTTTCTGCCATGTGATGGAACATATCTTTTTTTCATCTTTCACTACCCTACCTACCACTACTCCTAAGGCTATACAGGGGACCCTTGGAAACATAGCTATCTACTTCTCTTCCGTGAAGAAAGGTTACCTCTTTCGGTGGAGGGAGGTAATTGCATGTTTGCCCCTTGACCTAGTGGTTTAGGGTGCAGGGTTGGGTCCACAGGTGGGGGTCCGGCTAACACAAGGACCGACCATATGCCAGTAAGGGTGCCTCCCTTCTCATCTTCCCCCAACCCCATCAAGTAACAGCAGTGTCTACGTAGGAGTCAAAGGACTTCGTCGACAGCAGTCATCAATAGAACGTCAATATCAGCACATCGAAATAGATTCACAACCGAGACCTCGAGTGGCAACGGTCATTTCCAGAGCTGGAGTGCGCCCCGTTTGAGAGTGCAGTGTGGCACTCTCAAAAGGCACTTTCAAGGGGGATTTCACTTCCGTTTGAGAGTGCTGTGTGGCACTCTCAAAAGGAAGGCACTCTCAAGGGGGATTTCACTTTCGGCGGGAGCACTTGCGCAAAATTTCGTGAACCGGAGAGTGCTGTGGTGGCGGGGCCCAAAGATTAGCCAAGCTCTGCACATTTCCTTTCGATGGCGTCCCTAATAAATGCCTCCCATGGATTTCACCATCACCGTCGCGATCCGCCTTCGTCGTCATCCAATTGCATTAGCCTTTCGATGACGACGCTCACCCGCGGTCGCTGCTCCGGACTGTGCGAGATGCACGCCATGGCAATCTCCGCCATGCTGCAAACTGCACTCCAGTTCACATGTCCTTCTTTCCTCAGCAGCTCCCTATCCGCAATCTGCCGAACACCTTCCACAAACCTTTCTCCGATGTTCAGCTTGGTTTTTGGCGCTAGCATGACTGATCTTTCTAACGTGTCTGATTTATCCCTGTCTGTGCTGAGGGGAAACGAGCCACCAAGCACTCTGGTCGCCCAGGACGCAAGATCGATCCCTCCCTCCTGCTTCCCCATCTGCTGCTCCCTAGTCTTGCTGTCAGCAGTAGGCGGTGAACCAGCGAATGGTTTTCTACCCGTTATGAGTTCCAGCAGGACCACCCCGAAAGCGTAGACATCATTCTTGGTGGTGAGTCTGACTGAGGTGTAGTACTCAGGGGCCATGTATCCCAGTGTCCCTGCCACGTTGTACGTCTCCACGGACTCGCCCGCTGGGAAGCGACCAAAAACGCTTCGCCCCACCTTCGCAAGGCCGAAGTCGGAGAGATAAGCCCTCACTCCTGTCTTCCTGTGTCCTCCCCCCTCGCCCTCCCTTCCCCCCCCACCTTCCCCTGTTGGTCCATCCTCGAGCAACACGTTCTTGCTCTTGACGTCTCTGTGAATTACCGGTGGGTCTACCTCTTCGTGAAGATAGCGCAGCGCTCGAGCAATCTGCTGGGCAATGGAGACCCTATCTTGCCAGCTCAGAGGTCCCCGCCGGCCGACGCCGGGGCTGCTGCTGCTGCTGCTGCTGGCAGATAGACTCCCCTCTCGTTCTGCCACGCTCTTTGCGGCAAAAATGTGGCCTGACGCGTCTTCGTCCTCACCCTCGCCGGCGGCCGTAGAGGCAGTAGGAGCGCAGTTCAGCCGGTCGTACAGCGTCCCTCCCTCCGCGAACGGGGAGTAGATGATCAACGACTTCTCTCCGTCTTCGCAGAAGCCGATGATGCTGCAGAGATGGCTGTGACGGAGTGTGCCCAGCACATCCAGCTCCGCTTGGAACTGGCGGAACTTCGCCCGCGAGAAATCGCCTTTCATCATCTTCACGGCCACCACCTGCCCGTTGCTGAGCTGGCCCTTGTACACGTCAGCCGCCCCCCCCCTCCCCACCAATCGCGCGGCACTGAAGCCGTCGCACGCTTCCTGGATCTCCTCGAACGAGTACCTTTCCACTAGGAGAGGCCGTTTCAGTTGCACCACAGCTCCGTCGTTTCCACTCGACTTCTGCTGCTCGCGTACCTCCTCGCTCCACGTGCTCCACGCGGGGGACGACCTGCGCGTTGAACTCCGCGGGTGATTTGCCGGACCCGATCCCAATAAAGTGCCTTGTCGTTCACCTCGCGAAAAACGAGATCGCAAGCAGCGCCACCTCCTCTCCACGATGCCGGCGACGACAGCAGCTAGGAGGACGACAAGGACAGACGCCGCAACCCCCGCGATGAGGACGCCTTTTGAAGCAGGAGCAGAAATAGGAGGAGGTGCAGGGGGAGGTGCGCAAGGAGGGGCAGCAGGAGGAGGTGGAGGAGGAGGAGATGGAGGCTCCGGGACGGCGCTGCAAGGAGGCAGGGCCGAAGTATTGATCCGAAGCTCGAAAACAGTGTATCTCGCAGTACCTACATAGAGCACCTTGTCGTCGGGCGTGATGGTCATACCCATCAGCAAATAGACAAAGCCGACAGAATCTGAAAGCTTTTTCCTGGCAACAGTACGAACACTGACGGCTGGCCCACCATGATACTCGAGTGTGAGCAGCAGCAGTCGTCCTCCTCTACCCATCTCTGAAACAAATAAATTGCATCCGTCGGACGTTACAGCCACCCCCACGGGCTGGTCAAACCTCGCATAAGTAACATTGGCATCCAGGCTAACAGGAAAGCCTCCGCCAGCGATCGTCTCCACAGCTCCGGAGCTCGTTGTGACCCGCCTAATCACGTGATTGAGCCGATCGGCCACGTACAGAAAATCCCCGTCCGCAGATATTGCCGATGAACCAAAGTAGGGACCGTAGAATCTGACGGCCCTAGGATCGTCTCTGCTATCCTCAAGAGCATAGAAGTTCAAATCAGGACCTACCCATCTCTCCAGCACGGGCTTCCGTGCAGTGGTGACCGAAAGGTTCATTCGGTAGAGTGCACTCCATGACGATCCGTACAAGACGCGACGGGTGGAGTCCCAAGCCAAACTGACGATTGCTTCCCCTAGGGTAATCGCTCTGTAATCTAGAACAGAGAATGGCGGAGCAACAGAACCATTGTCGACGTTAAACGCACGCAGAGAGAGGTTGAAGCTATCCCCTACAATCGCATTGCGGTTCAGCGACTTGTTCTTGGCCGCCGATGACACCTCTTCATCATCCATCAGTGCAAACGCTTGCAAATACTCAACCGCGCCTTCTGGTCGCCAGGGCCCTCGCACTAGCGACACATCATCACCGCCGTTTTCCATTGGCCCCTCCGTTTTGACCCTCCATAAGCGATCGCTCATGAGGAAGAACAACGACCCATCCGCCGGTGAGAACGAGAGGGACCACACATCCGACCAAAAATTCTCAGTTGTGTCCCAGTCAGGGCTGAAGTTGCGTGTCGGGTTATCTCGTTTGGTCAACAGAGTGCTATCGTGGATTTCAAAAAAATATGTTTCCTCGATTTGCCGCTGGCGTAGCTCCTCCCGCCGCTGCTCACATGGAAGACGATGCTGACGATGCTGATGATCCTGACGATGCTGACAATGCTGACGATGCCGACGATGCTGATGATGACGATAACCATGCACGCACTGCTCATCAGCACATCGATAACGTCGAGAGTAATGATGCCGATGATCGCTTTCTTCCAGGATCCACGGAATTGCCGAGGTGCCAGTGCCGTTAACTTCACCGAACGCCATGGAGGAAGGCGATGACGGCTGCTCCGAAGACGAGGAGGAGGAGGAGGAGGAGGAGGCGGCAAGGACTGTGACCAAACCACACTTCAAGTTGTCTTCGATATGCCGTGCGGCTGTAATTGCGACAGCAAGCAACAACTGTGAAGAGCTAAATCTTCGCCATGCGCGTCGGCTATCTGCCGGAACCGTCGTTGTACTCCTCCTCCTCCTCCTCCTCCTCCTCATCATCATCATCATTATCATCATCATTATCATCATCACCACCATCTTTATCATCATCTCCGTCGTTTTCGTTTTCGTTATCATCCTAACCATACAGGACTCAGTGCGGCTAACTAACACATCTATGCCCTTGTGAAGTCAGAGACGTGATCGGAGTTAAAAGGTAAAAGTAATTGCATGAACCGTTTGCCCCCTGACTGCCACAGCTACCATGTTGTACTGTATGTATGTATAATTCTCAATCACATAATTCATACCAACTGATATGGTCACGTTTTTTTTTTGTTTTTTTTTTTCACAATAGTCTAGTAAGAATCTTATTTCAGACAGCAGTGTACTAACAGCTGCATGTGCATTCTCTTTATTCAGGAGTGTTGACGACATCACGACCTCTTAACCGCCAGTAAAGACGAGGAGAGAGACATGCGTGAAGATGCAACAGGACGAAGAGGGAGTTTGGGCTTTTTATTTAAGTGGCAAAAATCGAGGGAAATAATCACCGTCAGCTGAAGACGCTAAAAATCCGCGTTTGCAACCGATCTAAAAGTCGGGGGTTTCAAAAAAGTCGGGGGTTTCAAAACAAGAAAAATTCACGGCGGGGTTCAAAACAAGAAAAAAGAAAAAAGTCGGGGGTTTCAAAACAAGAAAAATTCACGGCGGGGTTCAAAACAAGAAAAAAGAAAAAAGTCGGGGTTTTCAAAACAAGAAAAAAGTCTGGTTTGCAACCGATCTAAAACTGGGGGGTTTCAAAACAAGAAAAATTTTCCGGGATATTGTAAGGACCCGGCCTCAAATTACTTTTTTCATGAGCAATCAAGTGTACTTTTCTCGGAAAAAAACAAGAAAAATCCACGGGGAGTTTGAAAACAAGAAAAAAGAAAAAAAGAAAGGGGGTTTCAAAACAAGAAAAAAGAAGCAAAACGAGAAAAAAACGTGAGTTTGGTCTTTTTATTTAAGTGGCAAAAATCGAGAGAAATAATCACCAACAGCTAAAGAAGAACGCAACGAAACGGAGAGGGAGCTAGCGTGGCAGCGGTAGCGCGAAGACGCTAAAAATCCACGTTTGCAAGCGATCTAAACGTGGGGGGGTTTCTTTTTGGCGAAATTCGCCGCCCTACCTAGCCTCTCGCACGTCGCAGTAGGCAAGGGGCGGGGGTGCGGCCGTAGACTCAGTGGAGAGGCGGCGGGTTCCTTCTCTGTGGACGCAATCGTGCTCAGGTGCATCCAGGCGTCCTGGTCGGAAAAGTGGTCATATACATCCAGGAAACTCCTGGTGTGAGTACGGCAGAAGTCGTTCGAAACGCGGGTTCCAAAGAAATCCGTCGAAATGTCTCTCGCCCCCGAAGTGTTTCTCACCAACGGGCCTACCCGTCTTCACCGGAATATAACGTCCGGTCATTATAGCTGTATTTGCCACAACTTTCAGCCCCGATAGGGCGATAACTACCGGGCGTTCTATTCGGCAGAAGACGGTAGCTCAGTTAGTACACCCATGAACTGCGGAAATACAAACCCCTTTAAAAAAACAGAAAAAATAAAAATAAAAATAAATACAGACCCCCAAGTTCGAATCCAGGTCCAATCAGATGAGCAGAAAAAAAAATGAAGTGCTTCTCGCATGGTCTAGATGGAGCAGGATCATGGATGTATCACCAGCCCGCGCAATTTAAAGGGCGCGACGAAGTGCTCTTGTAGCTCAGTTTTGGGAGAGTCGGAAACACTGTTCAATGATCATACAGCGGTCCCGTTCCTCTTCCCAGGCTACAGAATCTCGTCGTGAAATGAACATCATTTGGAATTTCGAGTGAAAGAGGGAATAGACATTTACGTGGCAGTCAATCTAACCTTAAAGTGAAATCAAACATGACAATCACTCTCCCCTGGTCCATAATCGATCTGTCGGTGAGATGCATGGAATGGAAAAGGAATCGAGCCTCTTCTCTTCCTCACACAAAGATCCAGATGGTAATCTAGACCCGAAACTGAACCCTAAGATAAACACCTGCACCACGCAACAGTAACCAGGACAGGAACAATCAAATCTCCCGCCACATCGACGTCTCTCTCTCTCTCTCTCTCTCTCTCTCTCTCTCTCTCTCTCTCTCTCTCTCTCTCTCTCTCTCTCTCTCTCTCTCTCTCTCTCNCTCTCTCTCTCTCTCTCACACACACACACACACACACACACACACACACGCACACACGCACACACGCACACACACACGCGTACGTTCTCGTCGGCTAGCCTGGCGAAACAACAGCGTGAAATACATAAAAGAAGGTATGTAGGATTTCCAGAACCGTCATCTCTGCTCACATGTTGGGGGTGTGCTTGATCAGGTGGAGGACGCGGTTGGTGGAGCGCTTCTCGTTATTGTACCAAGTGCAACGAGCTTGACAAAGCTCTTATTGATCCCAGTTCCCACCTTGGCATCGAAGAGGCAATGGAGTAAGAAAAGGTCCAAAATAACGGAGCAGGACCTCGTCAGCGTACCCGCCAACTCCCTCTGCGGCCGCCCTTCCGCAAGCCTTGATGGCGTCATTAGACTCTGGCTTGACCAGCGAAACCATCGATTCCACAACGGACACGCCTGCCGCCAGCACTCGAGAAGCCATCCACCTGAGCTTCCCAATTCAGCTTACCAAAAAAAAAACTTCCCCACCGCCCAAGCTCCACCTCTCCAGCTAGGAATGATCTCGAGTCCCCACTCCTCTTCACCTCTGCAGTGCGTACCGGACGGCCCATCGACAGTCTTCTACGTCGCCCTCAACGCATGCACAGTGGTCATCAATCACGGGACGACGCCGAGATGAGGCAGATTACCGTGATCAGCTGCGCAAGGGCAATACTCGTGGAGCTTGCATAGGAAATACTGGGGTTTCGCTGCACTGTTTACCGTCTCGCAGCACTGCTCATGAAATTGGAAAAAGGGCACGCCCGTCATCACAGTGGGGTCCGAGAACGGGAGGGGGGCGCCGGTTCGCGGCGCTAAACAAGCGCTCGGTTCTGCCGCCACCGGTCCGACGACCGGTCTAGCCGCTCTCAAGCAGCCATCGAGGTCGACGAGAGGGTTTACACGCCGCGCGGAGAGTCAGCTATGTCTGACCTCGCGACGCCTGTACGCTAGCCCTAACGAAACAACCTTTTACCAAAGACAAGTATCCAAGCTATAGTGGCCAAGACATTTCTGGGCTGGACATCCGTGCAAAGCTGTGTAAGTTTCAGCTGGCAACGTCGACAGAAAGGAACCAGGCAGCATCCCCAAGCATGGAAGTTGACGACAGTCAAGGGGGAGGCAGGAAGGAAGACACAGCCCAACCTCACATCAGGGATGTGGGGAATCTGGGGATGGTAGGAGCCGAGCTCGGAGCGACCACGTATAATCGGGAACGGGCCGCTGGAATCGAAGAAGACGAGGCAGCCAATAACAGGTCACCCCTGTGTGACACCCGCGGCCTAGGCCGCGGGCATTTCGGCCGAAAGCGGCCTCTGAGGCCCAGTCCGCGGCCTGTTTTTTTGATAATTTTTTTTACCCCTAAAAATACGTTAAAAAAAATATATCCTACCCCTTAAGCGAGAGCGGCCCGCGGGGGAGGTCGTGTTCCGCTGCGCGCCGGAATCGGGCCGAAGTTTTCATTCGGGCCGGCGGATGATGGCGATCGAGGGAGGGGGAGCCCGCAGAGCAGCGCACATACCGAATTGTTCACAGCGTGCCAAGAAACGAAGGAGTGCGCCCACGGGGCCGAGCGGCGGCGGGCGTCGATGAAAGGGTATATCTGGAAGCGCCCGCCGTCGGATAGGAAGGACGCCCCTTTCTTTTTTGGTCTAATTTGCAAACTGCGTTTTTATTTTTTTTTGGTTTTTGTAACTGCGTTTTTATTTTTTTTTTCTTTGCATTTTTGTTTTTCAGTTTCCTTTTTTTTGTGGTGGTTTGTTTTCAGTTTTGGGCGGGAAGAAAACGACAAGTCCAAAAGCCCACCCCACCACACATAGACCTGTGCCCCGCCCGGCCCGGCCCGGCCTGGCTTGACCCCACCGACACCCGCACCCGCCCCGACCCCACCTCACCTCACCTCACCTCACCCCACCGCACCACCACACACACACACACATATATGTTAGTTTTGAAGCTTGCTTGGAGCGGTTATGGTCAGGTTGGGGTTTGAACTCACACACAGATTTTGAAATACCCAACTGCCCACTGAGATAACCGCTCAGGTAGATTGGGTCCCTGTTTGCTTTTGGGGACTGTTTTGTTTTGAAGTGTATCCGACGTCAGGCAGCTGGCACGTCAGAATGTGCCTTTGCGTGTGAACCGGGGTTGCACAGTGTGCCTGTGTGTCTGAACCGTAGCTGGCCTGTACGGAGGGGCGGCGACCGTTCGTCACCGGCGGGTCCAATCCCGCCATTTGCAAGCGGCAACTTTGCCGATCTTTTGTGATCAGAAGAATTCATCAAAATGTCTGCAAATTTGAGGGTCCGTAGGTTAGGTCCTGATCTTTCAGGGAAAAAAAAATAATAAAGTCGTTTTGACCATGAAATATTCGCCGCGCCGATTTGCTGCATTTCCAACCGGCGGTTCAAATCCCGCCATTTGCAATCGGTAACTTTGCCGATTTTTTGTGCGCAAAAGAATTCATCAAAATATCGGCAAATTTGAGGGTGCATAGGCTAGGTCGTGATCTTTCAAGGAAAAATATTTAAAAAAAAAAACAAAAAATCGCTTTGACCGTAAAATATTCGCCGCGCCGATTTGGTGCATTTCCAACCGGCGGGCCAAATCCGTTTTTTTTTTTTTTTT